AGTTCTACTCTGTCCTATAGGGTCGCTTTGAGTTGGAATCGACTCGAAGGCAATGGTATTTTTTTTTTTTATTCCTGTTATTGTAGCTTTTTTGAGGTTGGTGATTCCATGAGTGCCTTTCTCCGAAACCCAGAATTTCTTCTGATAACATCTACTTTGTGTTCTGCACACTTCCTGGGGAGGAGGAAGGGGCAGAGACAAAGCTGATTGTTCCTCATATTATGAAGAGAGAAACTGAGGCCCAGAGGGACCTTGTCCAGATTCACATATCCTGCCTAATTTAAGGGGTCCTGGACAGGAAGATGACTCCCTGGCCAGCTGTTGCCTTCTGTCAGAGCAGCAGGAGTGGCCCAGGCAGCTGCCAGCCACTCCCCTGGGCAGGCAACCTGCCCAGGCCCAGGCATGAGTTCCATAGAACTCCTGTCTGCTCTTTTTTTTGGGGGGGAGGGGGGCAGGGAGAGGTACTGAGGATCTGGGCCCAGCCCTGGTGCAATGAGGGGCAGGGAGGTGAAGCAGCTTTCTCTGAAGATGTGTGGAGAGGTGTACCAGCGGAGGTGGGTCAACCAAGCTAGGGAGGGAGGGAAGGAGAAAGGCGGACTAGAGTGATCTTCCTCTTGGACGCTGGTATTTAGTATTTAGTGAGTCAGTAGGTGTGGAATGGGGTTCAGTGGTAGAATTCTCACTTTCCACGCGGGAGACCTGGGTTCAGTTCTGGCCAATACATCTCATATTGCAGCCAGTACTCATCTGGCAGTGGAGTCTTATGTTTTGCTATCATGCCGAACAGGTTTCAGTGGTGCTTCCGCTGGTTCCAGACTTAACAGACTGGGAGGAAAGGACTCGCAATCTATTTGTGAAAAATCAGCCCATGGAAACCCTATGGGTCACAACAGTCTAATTCCATTGTGCTTGGGGTCACCATGAACCGGGGCTGATTTGACAAAAGCTAACAACAACAACAGGTCTGGAGTAAGGCTCAGGAATCTGAATTTTTAACAAGCTCCTCCAAGTGAGGCCACGTGAGTAGCCCAAGGACTACATTTTATAAATTTGATTTGAATCAAGATAGTGTAGTATTTCAGGGCCAAAGATCTGGATTTATACCATCCAGGTTTGAACCCTGGCTCCGCCATTACTGGATTGGTGACCTTGGATAATGATACAATTTCTCTGTGCTTCAGTTTCCTCATTTTTAAGTAAGGATGCTTATAATAGTACCTTTCTCACAAGGAAGTTGCAAAGATTCAATGAAATAATTTAAGTAAAGCACATGGCACAAACAACCAAAACCAAAACCCATCGCCATCAGTCAATTCTGACTCATGTCAACCCTACAGGACAGAGTGTAACTGTGCCATAAGGTTTCAAAGAGTTGGCTGGTGATTTCAAACTGCGAACCTTCTGGTTAGCAGCCAAGCCCTTCACCACTGTGCCACCAGCGCTCCAGCACATACGTGGTGTGTTTTAATAGCTCACAGTATTAATCTTGATTGTTTGTTCCAGCTCCCCATTCTCACCCTCATCCCTACACCCACCAGCGGAAGGAATGATGGTATGGGATCACCACAGAAACTTGTTACCACAGTGTTGTTTTGGATGTGGGTGATCTTTGGGCTATGCTTTGAGAATCCCTGCTCCAAAGCCATTCTCCTCCCCTCACTCTCCTGATACCCCTGCTGTGGACTGAGACTCTTTCCAATAAACCACGGTGCCTTTCTCATCTTCTTTTCTTCCTTGTATCTTCCTGCTACCCCACCACCACCACCACCAACATGCACATGGCAAGCTGCCCTCCTCCCCACCCCATCCAAAGTGATTTGGCTCAGGATGTGTCCTGGAAAATAAAAACATATTGCAAGTCAGTTGTGGAGCTGAGCAGGCCCCCAGATTCTTGAAGAAGATCACAGAATTTGGTGCTCTGGACTTGTGGGTAAGCTTCGGAGGCAGAAGGGAAGCAAGGCCTCTTGTTACTCAGGTGCTAAGCATGGAAAAATGCTGTCTTCCTTGGGAAATGGAGTCATTCTACACAAAGCTGTGGTTGAAGCCCAGGGTGGGTATGGGTGAAGAAAGCTCTGTTCTGCATAAATTCTTGCAGGCATTTCTAACCCTGGATGGCACTTTCAGGTGACCACAAGAAGGGACAGAGTGGCAGGAGGTGAGAATGGGATAAAATAATCCAACTAAGGACACAAAAGCAGAGGAGTCAACTTTCAAACACAGCAGTGGTGACAGTGTGCAAGATCCCAGGGACCAGGGCTAACCTGTGATGCAGAGAAAGATAGGGTCAGCTCTCTGGGTGGCTGTGTCTATCTTGTCCCAGCCAGAATGGAGAACCCTGGGATGTGATGGAGGAAGGGTTGGAGAAATTCTGCCTGCAGAAAGAATTGGCAAACCTGGATTTGACTCCAGCTTGGCCCACCAACTTGGCCTTACCAACTGGTGCTCCTCAGCTCTCCCGTCCCTAAAGCAGGGCTGTATCTTGCCTGTCAAAACCCACCTATCTGTCAAGGCCACCATATACCATGGAAACTTCTGACCCCTCCTCCCCCACTGTAGGGTTGCCAGACAAAATAGAACACACCTAGTAAAACTTAAATTTAAGATTAATTAACAATGCATAATATTTTAGTAAAAACATGTCCTAAATATTGCATGGCACATACTTATACCAAAAAATTTACCACCAGTTGCTGTGGAGTGGATCCCAACTCATGGCAACTCCGTGTGTGTCAGAGTAGAATTGTGCTCCATAAAGTTTTCAATGGCTGATTTTTCAGAAATAGATTGCCAGGCCTTTATTCTGAGGTGCCTCTGGGTGGAGTCCAAATGCCAACCTTTCAATTAGTAGCCCAGTGCATTAACTGTTTGCACCACTCAGGGGTTCCATACTAAAAAATTACTCCTCGTTAAATTGATATTCAAGTTTAACTGTGTGTCCAGTATTTTTATTTGCTAAATCTAGTAACCCTACCCCACAACCCTTCAGAATTTCCTTCTCCCATGCCCACTGCAGGACTTTGATTGAATCTGCATCCATTTCAGTCTGTTCTGTCCTTCACTGAGAACCTTCCTTCTAATCTGCTCGGCTGAACTGAAGTTCTCTGAGGGGGGGGACCTTGCCCACCATCTCTGAGGCACCCTCCCAGGCAGGGACCCTCCTTACAGATGTGCACAAGAGCACCTGCCTGTAAGGGCGCCTGGATGGAGAAAGAAATCCATCCTTAATTCTACACCCTTAGAGGACCCCTGACACAGGTATGCACAGCTGGAAAGGTGCCTTCTTCTTAGTGATCTGCCCAGAGAAGCACCTGTTTTTAATTGGTCCACCTAGAAAAGTGCCTGTTTCTAATTGGTTCACCCAGGGGGTGCCCCTTTTTCATTGGTTGGTGGATGGGTGGGCGTGGCCTGTTTCCAATTAGTCCGCCCACAGGAATGCCAGTTTCTAAATTTACTCAAAAACCAAAACCAAGCTGTTGCCATGAAGTTGATTTGGACTCAGAGCGACCCTATAGGACAGAGTAGAACTGCCCCCTAGGGTTTCCAAAGAGCAGCTGGTGGATTTGAACTGCGGACCTTTTGCTTAGCAGCTGTAGATCTTAACCACTGCGGCCACCAACGCTTCAAATTTTCTCAAAGAGGTGCCTTTTTTCAATTCTCCATCAGAGGTGGTGCCTTTTTCTAAATAGCACAAGATCATTCTGTGCACTACTGAGGCCCTGAGCCTTAGAATAAAAACACAGCATTACATTTGCTTAGCCCTTTATAGATTCAAAATTATTTTTACACACATTAACCTCTCTAATCCTCACAACAACTCCAAGAGATAGATAATCATTGTTTCATTTGCATTTTACAGATTATCGAGCTGAGGCTAGAAAAACAGCAACCTGCTCGCAGTTACTACAGCAGATAACAGAAACAGCTTATTTTTGCTAAGTAAGAGTTTAACAAAGGCTTCCACATAAATCCTTTCATTCGCCCCTACAACGACTGTGTGGGATATACAAAGTTAGGCACATTACACTCATTTTCTTTTCATCTTCATGCAACTCTGGCAATAAATGTCATTTGCTCTCATTTTATTGATGAGGACAGGGATGCTCAAAGTTGTTAAATCCTTTGCCAAAGGTCACACAGCTGCAACCTACCATTTATTAAGTCACCAGACTGAGACAGGCACCGTGCTCAGTTACTTACAGGCATTATTATCTTATTAAATCCTCGCTACAACCACATGATATTGGCATTCTTATTATCCCCATTCGCTGATGAGAAAAATGGGTTCAGAGACGCTGAGTGATTTTTCCAAGACCACACAGCCAGCAGGTGGCAAGCAGAATTCACACGGCTAGCAAGAAGCAGATCTGGAACTCAAACCCAGTTCTTTTGACGCCAGCCTAGGCCTCCTCTTACACCCCAGAGTCTCGCTCCCTGCCAGCCTGGCTGAAACAATCAACGAACCCTCTTCATTGAAGTCTTTGGTAGCCACAAACACAAGGGGAGGGCCCTTCTTGCCACGCCCTTCCCAAAGAGATCCGGATCAACTGGAGGCGGCCGAGCGAACTAGTCCTCCGGGCGGTGGCAGACGCAGGGCAAGGCGGTACAGCCTGCCGAAGAAGTTCCAGGACCGTGGCGCGTTCCAGCAGCCGAGCGGGGTAGGTGGGGCCGGAGATCCGGGCTCCCGCCCCCTGCTCCCCTCCCTCCGTCGTTCCCTCCCTCGGTCCCCGGCCTGCAGAGAGGCGGGCGGGCGCTGCCTCGGCTGGACGACCTCGGGCAGGCTCCCGGAGAAGCGGCCAGGAGTAGCAGCTCAGTGCGCGGACCTCGGGCGCCGGCGAAACCCGGGGATCTTCCCAGGACCGCGCGCTCTCCGCGCCGGGGCGGCGCGGAGCCGGCGCATTCCCCGGCTCACCGGCACGGCTGACGGCCGGAGGAATTCCCGGAGCGCGGGCCGCTGCGCGCAGCTACCCGCGCCCCCGCGCCCTGAGCCAAGATCCGCGGAGAGATGTCCGCACGCGTCGGCCTCCTGCTGCGCGCCTTGCAGCTGCTGCTGTGGGGAGGCCTGGACACGGAGCCGACGGAGCCGGGAGGCAGGGAGTTGCGCAGAGAGGCGGAGGTACCCGGGTGTGCGCGGGCGGAGAGGGGTCCGCGTGCTTGAGTGAGACTCGCCAGAACTTTACAGTCAGGCCATCCTGCCGTTCTATCTGAGCTCACAATCTGCGTTACCCTCCCCTCGTCTCCTTCCCTTTACACTTGCACACAAAGGCCCTGGGACAGCTTTCTCCCCCGGGCCAGGGCTAGGACCACACAGGCTCGGGGATCCACATTGATTGTCTAGGGTAAGGAGCAGCGACAAGACGGCACAGACAAGCTAGAGCTGAGAGGGAACCTCCTACCCCAGTTTGACAAAGAGACACTGCCCCTCGCCGCCTAAACTGGGGAGGCTTGGCGTTCATTCATCGGATGCCCAAGACCTCCCCGAGCGTCAGACCAGACGCTGCGGAAGCTCCTTGATTGGTGAGGTGGAGAGGGTACTGCTTAGTGGCCTGGCACGCAGCACAAAAGTCCTCCTGGGTTTTGGACCAGGTTTCTGGCCAGCTCGGACAAGTCACTTGAACTACTTAGCACTAGTTTCTTCATCTGTAAACTGCGCAAGAGTAGTATTACTCTCAAGAGTCGCTTTAAAGAGCTTTAAATAGTGTTGCAGGACTGATCTTGAGAAAAGGAGTCAGGGAGGAGGAGGTGAACCTTAAAGACTTCCCATTTCATTTTCTCCTTTGGACCCAACTGCTTCCTATAGGTTGCCCAAGGAGAACTTTGTGTGAGGTAGAGGTGGGTCAGTGTCCCTGGGTGGTGCAAACGGTTAAGCGTAGGCTGCTAACCGGGAGGCTGACGGTTTGAATCCACCCAGAAGCTCCTGGGACGAGAAGCCTGGCGATCTACTTCCAAAAAATTAGCCACTGCGAACCTTGTGAGGCACAGTTCTACTCTGACACACGTGGAGTCACTGTGAGTTAGTTAGACAGCAATTGGTTTGGTGTTTTTTGTTTGTTTGGAGGGAGGGAGGTCTATTTTGTAGATTAAGGTGATTGTAATAATACAGCAATATCATTTCTTTCTTCCCCAGAGAAGCATCTCAGTTTGTGTTCTTACCTCTTTTCAGCAATAGGACTGCTGAAAATAGTCTTCACTATTTTATGGAGAAGGGATGTGTCTTAGCCTGAGTTTTCTAGAGAAGCAAAACCAGTGAAGTGTATATATATCCATATATGTTATATATATATATATATAGAGAGAGAGAGAGAGAGAGAGAGAGAGAGAGAGAGGTTTATCTCAAGGAAACAGCTCATGTGGTTATAGAAGCTAGCAAGTCCCAAGTCCCTGGCTCAAGTGTTAGGCGTCAGACTGGAGGCTTCTCCTGACTCATGTAGCTGCAGGGGCTGATGAATCGGCAGGTAAGATGGCAGGCTGCTAGCCCAAGTCCCAAGAACTGGAGGTCAGATGCTGATGAGCCGAATGTAGGATCCAGAGCAGAGCAAAAGCCAAGGAGCTTTGCCACAAAGTCCATATATATTGGATCCAGGCTACACCCCCAAGGAAACTCCCTTTCAACTGATTGGCTACTCACAGCAAATCCCATCATGGAGGTGATCACATTATATCAGATCTTATCATGGACGTGATTACATCATTATACGACCGACAAACCACTGAGAATCATGACCCATCCAAGCTGACACACAACCTTAACAATCACAGGATGTGAACAAGTTCCAAATTACCAAGCCCAGGGCTCTACCCTAAGACTCCTGCTCCCAAAGAAGTTCATTCCTACCCTAAAACAGCCAGCTGAGAGCTCTCTGTATCTTTCCCCCCACTTCCCTCCCTTAGCTCATCTGAAGGATCATGCTGAATTTGGAAAGCCTGCAGAATGAGGAGGGTCCTCTCTGAAACTCTCACCCTTCTTCCATCAGACAGCTCCCATCACCACGCTGGAATATTTGGAAACGACCCTCTTCAACAAGGGGATCCTCTCTCAAGCTCCTCCACTCTTTTCCCCTCCAACCACTGGTCTCTTGTTCTGTGTTCTTAGCTTTTGACTTTCAGGGAATCACTTTGTTTCTCTGGATTTAGAATCTTACAACATCCAGTTCAGAATTCCCATGGCCCCAGGAGAAGGCGTCTGCCTACCAAGCCAAGTCTTGTTAAGAGTCCCACTCCCCTCCCCGCAAGTCCAGGTCCCAGGCAGTCCTTGGCAGGGGAACAGAGACAGTTATCTCTGCCGCCCATGCCTGTGGTGGCCCCAGATGGAGAGAGTTTCATCTTGGGGAGTGCTTGGGAAACTTAATATCTAGCAGATTCAGTCTCTTTCAGTCTATTTAACATAATTGGGGGAAGGATTTTTTTAAATCTGAGAACAAAAAATATTTTAAAAGCATAAAAAAAAACCTCTGGAAATGTGTAATGGGTGTGTATATGTTTCTGTATGCCTGTGCATGCACATGTGTGTGTATATACATGCAGATTGGTGTGTGTTTATGTATATGTCGCTCAGTATGTGTTTCTGTATGTGGTTCATTGTATGGGCTTTGGTGTCAGACAGATGTGTATTCAAACCACGGGCAAATCATTTAACCTCTATGAATTTCAGTTTTCTTAGCTGTAAAATGGGGAGTAATAATGCCCATCTCACAAGATTGCCATGCAGTTTAATGGAGATAATGTATGTAAAATGCTCAGCACCACGCCTAGTACGTAGAAAACAGTCTATAAAAGACAGCTGCGATCAGTGTTGTTATTATTTATTATTATTTTAGAGAACACAACTTCAGATTCAAACTCTGGCTTGGTGGCTAGCTTTCCCACTGTAAACAACAATAACAGGACAAAATATGTAAGGCAGTTGTTTTCAGAATTGGACAACAGGCAGCACAGGACTGCAGTTCTTAAGAGACGGTGTAGCAGTTCCTGTGGCTACATTACAAAGTACGCAAAAACTTAGTGAACAGAGAGTCCATCAGCCTGAGACCAGAAGAACTAGATGGTGCCTGGCTACCACGAATGACTGCCCTGACAGGGAACACAACAGAGAGTCCCTGACAGAGCAGGAGAAAAGTGGGGTGCAGAACTCAAATTCATGTAAAAAAATCAGGCTTAATGGTCTGATTGAGACTAGAGGAACCCCAGAAATCATGGCCCCCAGACTGTCTCTTAACCCAGAACTAAAACCATTCCCGAAGCCAACTCTTTAAATATTAGACTAGACTATAAAACATGAAATAATACTGCGAAAAGTGTGGTTTTGGATAGGAGCTGGTTGAATGGACACAGGAAATCCGGGGTGGAAAGGAGGAGTGTGCTGTCACATTATAGGGATAGCAGCTAGGGTCACATAACAATATGTGTATAAATTTTTGTATGAGATACTAACTTCAGCTGTAAACTTTCACCTAAAGCCCCCCAAAATAGCTCAGTGAAGTAAAACAACCATTTATTATATTCACAGATTCTAGGGGTCAGAATTTTGAGTAGGGCACATTAGGGCAGTTTGTCTCTGCTGTACAGTGTCTGGGGCTGGAATCATCAAAAGTCTGTTTATCACATATCTGGCAGTTGATGCTGGCTGTCAGCTAGGGGCCTCAGTTCTTTCCTATGTGGGACTTTCCACCTGGCCACTCCACATGGACTAGTTTGGGCTTCCTCACAGCATGGTGGCTGAGTTCCAAGGATGAGTGTTCCACCAGGCAAAAGTTTTTTTTTTTTTTTTTTTGTAACTTAGATTCAGAAGTCAGATAGCATCACTTCCACTGTACTCCATAGATTGAGGCACTCATAAGCCCCCACCCAGGCTCAAGGGGAGGGAACATAAACCCCACCTTTTGGTGGGAGGAGTATTGAAGTAACATTGTAAGAACACCATGTGGAATAAAAGATATTGTTGTGGTCATTTCAGGAAATACAATCTGCCACAGAAGAGAAACTTACAAAGGAAGCCCCACAATCACCACAGCACTATGCTCAGGGACATTTCCTTGAAAGCAGTGTAGGGAGCTAAGACTCCAAGCAAAGCACAGCAGCCCTGCTGAACTGAGGTGTCAGAAGTCAGAGCTAGTGAAGCAGCTGTAATCTGTGGAGCAGTACATCATAGAAGGAGCTCCACAGGAGGTTTCCATGAGCCTGTGTTGTGGTTCTCTGAAGTCCTTGGCTGAGGACTATCCTGGCATAGGTAAGTAGGACTACCTGAGGCTTGCCAGAGAGCAGCTGTTAAAAGAATTGAGAGCAGAAAAAAAGTAGGTCTTACTCTAGAGCATGGTCCTTACTCCTAAAGCATGACATTTCTGGTGTTTCAGATGGATGCCTGGGATGTTAACAAGTTTAGTTGTTTTTTTTTTCCCCCCACTCTGGTTGGTTCAAAACTCCAGCATCTTCCAGAACTGCTCAACTTCTAGAATAAGACCTACTTTTACAAAACTTAGAAGTGAGTAAACATAAAATACTTTTTTCTCCATTTGTCATAATTTCCTTAAAAGACAACTGAATGCTTAAAGTAAAATAATAACATTGTAAGTTGGGCTTTGCATGTAAAAGTATTTGATTAACCCAAAAGAATTTCATTAATCCAAAAGTAAAGGAGCAGAAGAGGAACAAAAACACAGGAGGACAAATGGAAAGTGAATAATAAGATGTTACACTTAAACCTAAACATATTATCATATTAAATGTAAATGGAATAAATACTCCAATTAAAAAGTGGAGATTGTCAGACTAGATGAAAAAGCAAATCTGTGCTGTGTACAAAAGACACCTTTAAATATAAAGGCACAAAGGGTTGAAGGTAGAAGAGAGGAAAAAGATATATCACACAAAAACTAATTATAAGAAAGCTAGCATAGCTATATTAATATCAAACAAAATAGACAAAAAGAAAAAGATTATTACCCTAGATATAGAGGGGTATTTCATAGTGGTCAAAAAGGAAATTCAGCAGAAAGACATGATAAGCCTCAGGATGTGTGCTCCGTTTGCAGAGATTCAAAACACATGAAACAAAAAGTGACAGAACTAAAGGAAGAAATAGAACTCCTCAATCTCAGTTGGAGATTTTTTTTTATATAG